GGAGTTGACTCCGTTAATGAGGGAATCATCAGCAGGTGTGTGAGGAGGCGTACCGTAACCAGCCGCCTCTTGTTGGTGGAAGGGAGACAAACACAAAAACAAAACAAACAGACAGGAGCCCTGACAGTTTGTTCTAAAAATCTTTAAACGAACTCTTGTTGGACCCTGGAGAACCACCGTACCAGATTGCCGCCTTACAAGGAGTTTTTAATCCATGTCTATTTTACTCACACCAGCAGTAAACGGTGGTCATTTCTTACTTCTTTTTATAAAATTTTTTTTTAAACAGGACATGAAGCAAACATTTATCAGGGTATAAGCTCAATCCAAATAAAACGAATCGATTAACACATTCACCATAACGAAGGGCAGCTCCCCATCAGTTGTGTCAGGTTGTGATAACGAACTTCTGTTTTTACTTCTTCGTCTGTTTAAAAAGTGGTGCGGTCTTTTTGACACGTTTTAATGGCAGCTGAGATCCATAAGGATTGTTAAAATCGACAAGCAGTGAACTCTTTTAATCATCTTTCTGCCCACAACATGCTCAGGCGCTGTTTTAAAAACCATATAGTCTACACGCAACGTTTCCCCCCTCATTCATAAATCGGGGACATTTTAGCCGGGGCAGGTGGTCCAAAACAAGGACTGTCCCCGGAAATCGGGGACGTCTGGTCACCCTGTGTTTTTCTATATATATATATATATATATATATATATATATATATATATATATATATATATATATATATATTTATTTATATATTTATATATTTATATATTTTATCCTCTCCAACTGTATCACATTGCTACATTTCTTTTCTTTGTTGCAATACACAGTTTATAGTAAGACAATAACAAAAAGCCCTCAAAGAGAATGTCTGGAGTCCTGCTTTCCAATGGGTGGAGATGGATGGGTGGACAATGGGTCACTGGCCAACCCAGTGGCCTCAACCAGGTGATCCCATGAGGACTAGCCTGACTAACCAGACTGAATTACGTGTAAATCAGTCTGGTTAACCGCTGTTGACTCCAACCAAGGGTTCAGTCCAGTGACGGGCCTGCATCTTAAAGTTTTCAAAAACTGCACCACAAGGAAAAAGACAAGGAAGGCGGGAAAATAGCTTTGACCATTTAAATTATTTACTAACAAGAGAAAAGGAGGATTAATTTGCTCAGTTTCCAATTTGCAACCTGACTTTAGTGCAGTACACAGTAAATCCCTTACAATCATTAACTGGAGTGTTTCTGAGAATGGATTCAGTCGCCAAAATAGAGAGAATTTGAACAGAGAGCTTAGCTTGGCCTCCTTCTACAGTTAATTTCTAACATCTGCACATCTCACACCTTCCCAGCTCTCACCTCTTGATCACCTGGGTTTGATGTGTGAGTCAGTCATGGTTTTAAAACTTGGCAATCAAAGCCTTGCTTTACATTTCATGAATCTTTCAGCACCTTCTGTGCTCCTTTTTTTGTGTGTGTAAGAGAGCAGGCTCCCACTCCTTTGTTGAGATGTCTAATCTTCTTTGTCTATGAATGAATTCAAGAGCTGCATCAAAAGCAATGAAAACACCTTGTTCTGAGAAATAACCGGCTTTAAAAGAAGGATGGAGACGTTTTCATCATATGTAACTTTACAAACGGCTTTGATATGGATTATATGAGATGGACCAACATTGTAAATCGTTTCCAAAATCTTCTCACAAAAAATCACTTAGTATGAAGTGTTTTCTTTCTTTTTTTTATTTTTTATTTATAGTTGGAGGAGCTGGCTGAGCCCACCTCAACTCTTTGTCCGGGACAACTTACCTGGTTGGTAACGGTACACTACCTCATAAGTGGCTCTATCTAGGACAGGAACAGTTATGCAGATTAGCTCTGAACCAGTTTTCATCTCAAAGACATAAAACAAAGAGCACATCCAGTTAGTCAGAGTAAAAGCTGAGCCCATAGCTATGTCTAGGACAGAGAAACAGGACTAAACATGAAAAAACAGGCCTTATA